GAGAATAAGTCCTTCTACTCACTTAGTGGGTTGATCTGTTTTATTACTTCTGCTAGTTGAGATGTTATTTGATAAATATGAAAATATTACAGGAAGTGTTTTGTTGTCTCTCTGCCGAAACTGGTTTGGCAGCTTTTGGGACACAGATCTTAATCACTATTGTACTGTAATTCATATTCCTGTCAACTCCTCCCCACCAGCCATAGACTTAGAATGGCTTTCATTCAGCTTTAGAAACTATGAATACATGTTGCAAAACTCAGTTATCACTGCAAGGTTTAAATGTGTGAACACTTACTAGAGAACTGAGTTACCAGCTCTCCAAACTCATTAAGTGCACAATCAACATGCGCATTGATTGACTTGACAAAACCATTGTATTCATTAACTTTTACAGGGTCTTTTTGTTTTATATCAGCAAAGTTGTAATGGAGATGCATCTATTGAGATCCAAACTCAGCTTCTTATCTTCTAATTGGAATTAGTTTGACAAGCTCAGCTCCAGGTTTACATACTAGCTCCTTTCAGTGCTTTCAGCTTTATCACATGGCCTTCACTAAAATGTATTTTGTTTAGTTGCCATGAACACTTTTCAAAATAAAAATCCAAATAAGTTTTGAAAGTGCTAATGAGTCTAAAAACCCTAAGGTGGTCTGTCAAAGAGGGCACCATGATTTGCAAATGTTCTTTTTGTCACAAATTCTTCTGTTTTGCTTTTCTAGATCATGGGCACAATATTTGCAATGCAATAGAAAGCAAGTGAAATAAAGATGGTTTTATTTGTCTCTGTATTGCTGCGATGTAGCTTTCATAGGCATCCTTCCCTGTACAGACCACTCCAACATGTGTGATCAGCTTCATTTTCAGCCTATTATTTTATTTGTGTCATTTACCATCATCTTGTATTACCATTGTAAATAGCTGCAGTAATGATCCACATAATGAACCCACTTGAACAAAGTACACTGATTCATTAAGTAGCTGAAGCTACAGAGCAAGCTTGATGACCTGTAGTGTGCTACGGGTGGGCATGTGGCAGGCAATGATTCACAGTGCACGTAATTAAACTGTGTAAAATAATAGCGATTGAGTGGGGAAATAACTGTTGTGCCTTTTCAGCTGTTTAGACTGACAAAGAACCGTGATGCTGTATTGTAGATTAAACTGATTTGCACTTCATGAATAAAATTAAAAATTACTGGATGAGCATAACACTAAAATTTCATTTCCGATTCCAAAATAAGCATATTGGCTGGGAGAATAAAAGCCAAGCAGCATTACTATTTGTAGCCTCGGGGTCTAGCTGAGCATTGAATTCAAAGCTAATAATTGGAAAATGATGGAGTGGGAATTTATATGAAAACAGTATCAAGTGTAGAACAGTTTAATGATACAACACTCGGAGAACCTTCAGGAATATTGAAGCTCTGCATCTGTGTCCATGAAAAAGATAATTGATCCTTTCCTAAATAGAAAAATTTGATGCATCTTCTCCAGGCTTAGTTTCTGTATAATAATGTCTTATACAACAGTAAATCTGACCTAAATGTGACTACATTTCTGTTTTAAGTGAAGAAAATAAGTTCTCCTTCTACATTCCCATTGCATAGCAGTGAGGTTTAACATGAAGTTAAAAGACACGTGTGCTGTTTAGGGCATCCCATGCAAAATATTAATATTTTATTACGTGAGATAAAACATGTAAAAACATTTAAAGGTCAGACAGATTGATATCACAGACATAGACAGAGCAGACATATATATTTACCAACAACAAGCTGTGCACTCATTTGGAATCTGTTAAGCCTGCAAGAGCCAGATAAAACCTGTTTTAATGCTGTATGCAGCTGACATAGATGCCACAGAAAATGTTTTGAAGCATGCTGATCATGTAGCCACACCACAAGATCTGTCAGACTTATGTAGTTTGAGGTACTTATGTAGCTTGAGGTTTAAATCTCCTTTATGCTTCTACTTAAGATATTTTACTACCAGTTGAGGTGTTGTGAAGATTCAGATTTTACTTATAAAACATGTTAAATAAAAATGTATTCTTAAGCAGTAGTAATAGGACTATGCTGAGTATGTGACCAGGTACATTAGTACCTGCATTGACAACATCGTGCCCACCATACAAGTCAGGAGGTTCCCCAACCAGAAGCTCTGGATAAACAGTCAGGTACGCCACATGCTGCGTGCTCGCTCTCATGCATTCAGATCAGGTGATGAGACGGAGTACAAAGCTGCGAAGTACAGACTGAGGAAAGCCATCACAGCGGCCAAGAGGCAGTACAGAGAGAAGCTTCTATTCTGCTGCTGACTCTGGACGGATGTGACAAGGCCTGCAGCACATCACAGCCTACAGGACCACCACCACCAGCATCATCACCTCCACAAACAGCCTGCCTGATGACCTCAACACCTTCTACACCCACTTTGAGACCTCCAGCCACAGCACAGAGGAGGCACACACACACCGAGACCACCCAACCCCCCACCTCCCCTCCACTAACTGTCTCACCAGGCCAGGTACACACAGTCCTGAGGA